GCTTGCCAGAACCGGAAATAAACCCCGACAACGAAAGGTTGGCCAATAACCGGACGGCTAATACGACTTAGCATAGGCTAAATTCTTTGATTGAAAAACTTAAAAATCTTCATTCCGTCAATGTGTAATTGAACGCAATTTTACGGGATTTGGATTGCTGGCCGACGGCGCAGCTCCTCCAGAATACCTCGTCCAAGGCCAAATGGACATATCACCCGTTCTTCAGGGGCTTGCTAATGCATGGCCCAGGGTGTGGAGTAGCGTCCGCGGGTCATTGGATACGTTTAGATGGTAGGGACGTAGCATCGTAATCAGCTTCTTTGTTACGGAAAATGGCAGTTGCACGTCAAGTCAGAATTCTTGCAAATCTGCCAGAAAACAGTTGCCGCCCACTGGGTTTCTGCAATCCGCCTCCTCAGCTGCTTCTATACGCATTGTTTGGTTACACACGTAAAGAAACTAGCTTCAGGAATCTCTGGACTTCAGACAGCATTTGCCTTTCAAGGAAATCCTCCGCTACCGCGTATTATGTTTAATGGGACAGAACACTCAGGTCCATAAACGGCGGCACAATATGCCTGCATGTCCCGCTCAATGCGGTTGTAGATAGTGCTCCGGTGGTATCCCAAGAAAGTAATGCACAGCGTGTTTACGGGAAACATAAACTGTGTGACTTTCTCCAGTTGCCATTCAGCTATTTAACCTAAATGGCATCCCTAAACGTTAAAATAAAACAGTAATCAATACAATAAGACAGCAAAAAGACAGCAAAAGGATAGGGTGTTACGCACCCCTGTTGCACCATCTGTTTGCAGTGAGGATGCATTCAAAGTACGAACAATGCTCACCAAGTAGCTTACTCAGCAGATTAGTGCTCAAACTGCGCTGCACTTAAACAAAGCCCCGTTTTTGATCATCGATGGAAGGAGCACTCGAGAAGCCCTCAATGACAAATGTATACGTTATTGATTATTTAGTTAGGACTAATTGGCATATATTTGCGGTAAAGTATACTTCTGTACGCAGTATAGTCCTTATCTTTAATTCATGAGACATGTATCTAATCATGTGGGGGAATGTCCCAGACCACCCTCCTGAAGGCCCAAACAACCGAGCTGGCCATCTGCTGGCAGGGCGTCAATCTCTCAGACCATTTTTTAATGCTAAGGTCCCTGACACCTGGAACATATAGTAAAGTAACCCAGGAAAGCAAATTTGCTCATTTAACTCACAACGGACTTGCTTCGTAGATAAAAACCGTTTTGTTTTAACATATTATGATTGCATTAATTCACCTTATGTTACTGAATGGCAGTTATCGTTCAATTACTTGACGTACGTCACATATCCGAACACAGTCATTTATTGAGTTCAAAAAAGTCCACTTATAATAATGATTTTGTTCAGTGCCAATTTACAGGCATTGTTAAATAGATTTAATACAAATGGAAAAAAATTTCGCGAGGACAACAATAATGCAGCGTTTACAGAATACAAAATTCAAAGAAATAAGGTGAAAAGCCTGATTTTCAGGAGGCGACGGGATTTTGAGAGTAATTTGCTCCACCGAGCCGTTAAAAATCCGAAATTGCCCTACAGCTATTTGCGGAAAAGCACACGTAACAGGAATCCCATTCCTGTTATGAGGGGTGATGACGGCTTGGAGATATCGGACAGTACAAATAAGGCTGAGCACTTTTCTCAATTTTTCCGATCCGTATTCACAAGAGAACCGGACTTTACCCCATCTAATTCTGAGAACATGAGAGATCCCACTATCGAAAATATTGTGCTTCGAGAAGAGGCGATTTTGGAAGAATTAAAAAGCTTAAAGGAATGTAAATCTCCCGGTCCGGACGGGATTCCAGCAAAGCTGCTCTTTGAGCTTGCCCAACAGCTGGCCAAGCCACTATCCTTTCTGTGCCAAAAATCGTCGGATGCTGGAATTCTTCCCACAGACTGGAAGACGGCCCAAATTACACCCCTTTACAAAAGCGGTAGTCGTGCTCAGGCGACAAACTACAGACCCATCAGTCTGACATCAATCTGCTGCAAAGTGATGGAGAAAACCATCAAAAAGGAGTTGATGGCTTACTTGGAAACCCACAACCTCTTTTCCAATGCACAATATGGTTTCCGTAGGGGAAGCTCATGTGTTACGAACTTGCTATACACAATGAAAAGTTGGACACGAGCACTGGACGCAAAACACACCGTGCATGTTGCCTATATTGATTTCCGGAAGGCGTTTGACAGTGTTCCGCACCAGCTTCTCCTACAAAAGTTGAGAATTATGGGCATCGGTGGCAAACTTCTCAAATGGATCGAAAATTCCATTGTCGGCCGCTCCCAAATTGTCTGCGTAGAACAACAGCAATCAAGGTGCACATTCATTGAGAGTGGGGTCCCACAAGTCTCGGTGCTCGGACCAACTCTCTTTCTCTTGTTCATCAGTGATTGCGTAGATGGTTTGGACTGTGATTGCGCTATGTTTGCGGATGACATAAAAATCTGGAAAGTCATCCAGAATGCTGCCAATGAGACCAACTTCCAAGAAAATCTTTGTCGGTTGGACGAGTGGTCCCGCAGATGGCTCTTGTCCTTCAATTTGAACAAATGCACCATTCTGCGCCTCTGAAATCAGAGCCCTAGTACGCGGCAACACCATCTGAACGAAATGCCACTCCGGGAAGCAGAAACTCAGAAAGATCTCGGAGTTTGGGTTGCGGACAGCCTAAAGCCTTCTACACAATGCTGTAAGGCGGTCAAGGCCGCAACGTCAATGCTATATGCCATCAAGCGGGCATTCGTAGTTTTCGATGAAGACTGCTTCACCAAAGTCTTCGGCACGTTTATAAGGCCCCATTTCGAATATGCAATTCAGGCCTGGAGACCGTGGACGCATCAGGATTACGATCTGCTCGAAAGGGTGCAGAGGCGAGCCACAAAATTAGTAAGAGGTCAAAGTGCACTGCCATACGAGATCCGCTTAACTAACCTTAATCTCTATCCTCTGAGTTATAGGCAGTTGCGTGGAGACATGATACAAACTTTCCGTATCGTGCGCGGCTTGGATTGTGCCCTTCGGTGCGATGACTTTTTCCAACTCGCCACTAAAACTCACCTCCGGGGACATCCCTTCAAGCTACGTGTGCCACAGGGTAGACTGAATGTGAGAAAATATTTCTTCTCCAACCGTGTCGCGGAACCGTGGAATAACCTGCCCGAGACGGTTGTTATGTCTCAATCTGTGGAGACATTTAAATGTCGCCTTGACAGATATATGCTGCAGCAACAAGCGGACTATGTGACTTTTTAACCATGTAACTAGTGACGTATGTGAATCAATGTATGCATTCAATTAATGCTGTAATTTCTTCACAATTTTGCTTGTTTATCGATTTTTTATGTACAAATAGGGAGTTCAAAGGTGTAAGCCTATTTCCCTCAAATACACTGACTGACTGACTGATTTAACAGTGAAAAATTCATAAGATAAAATATGCGCCATTAGGATTTTGGGTAGTTTCGGTAGCTTAGGAGAAAACCTGCCTTCCACGAGATGACCTCGTTACACAAAGGGAACAGTTATACCGAATGGAATTTGTCAAGTGTCCGACATTGTTAACTGAATTAAGACTGAAATAAACAGGATGGATGCGTGAACGGTTATTTGATATCGGTTGATGAAATTATCTAGTGTGCTGTGGACTGCAGTGTCAGCGCCATCTTCAACAAGATAAGATCAGCGAGAGGGATCAAAAACCCCGAACTCCATCAATATGGAAGATTAATTTGGTCGATTCAGAATCCGAAAATTGCGGAAGTTTTTTGAATGTCGAAAAGTGGTGCTAGCCCCCATTATAAAAAGATAACTCTACAGGATTGTAATATCGCTGGAGAGCGTTTTCAGATTGTTATTTTGTACACGGGGAAAAACCGGCGATATTTAACTGCATGTGTAAAAGGAAGAAATAAGAAGGCCTTGCAGTGACTGTTGCATTAAAGGCGGTCGAGATACTACAAAGTATTAAGCGGAATTATCATGAGTATCATTACTGCTCTGAAGGACAGAAAATTGTCATTTTGTTAGCACCGTAACTTTGTGTTCGCCTGAACAAAGTAAGACTCACAAGAAAAGTTTCATAGCACACACCAAGGTAGCGAAGAAATGGGAAGATGTTCTGACTAAAATCAATTTGAATATGGCTGATAACATGTGGCAGTACTTATCCATACGCAAGGGAGAAACGTTAAGTTGGCAATTCGGTATAATGGAAAGGAAAGAAAACAAGTAATGGACCTAAATTAACCACATTACATTTAACGAATATATCTGCCAACGAACAACCGTGTAAATAGACACACACGCGCCATTTTTAAAAATGGACGACTCTGTGTTAAAATAATTCAAACCTACACCAAAGTTCCCACTTAGTCTTTCTTGATTTATCCGACCGTGTTTTAAGTCTAGAAGAGAACCTGTATCATTTTTGCATGCCAAGGGGTCAGCAAGTATTAACTGGACCTATTTTACTCGGATCGACATCAGTGCGTGAAGCACAGTGCCCACGACCACAACTGCGTTGCTAGTTCGTCTTACTGCTGAAGACCATTTAACTTTGTCAGTGATTGCATAAGGAATTCGGAAGCATAGCAAGTGCCGAAGTCTTTTTAATTGAATAGCTATCACTTAGAAAGTAAAACATGGTAACGACAATAATACTAGATGCATGAACTTAATGGAGAAATACACCAAATGCAGTCGATTCGCCTTAAAAAGTCTTGGAAATCTAATGTTAAGCTGTAAAGAACCCCGATAGAGACAAGTTATCGTCAAAATATATAAAAATATACTGAGTGCACTACATTACTCAAGTTTCTTTGCAATAACTGTGGGCGTTAATAGGCAATTTACTGGGAAATTCCATACGGTGTAGGAAGATTAAGATTTCAGTTGATTTCTATAAAAGAAGTACATATGGGGTGTCACAAAATCCTTTATTTGAGCGCGCTCAAATAACCCGTTAACATGGCACCTATCATAGGAAATAGCCTATGTATTCGATCACAACTTTGTCCGTACGTCCTTTTCCACACAGACTGCGCATCGACCCTGTCGCATGGGATGCTTTCTTTTGAAAAAGGTTACCGTTTCTTCTAAAATTATTTCAGAGGGAAGGCCTAGATCCGAATTAAATATTGGAATAGGTGAGCATGGCACATCGACAAAGCCGGAATTTCTGCGTATTTCGAAGGAAACTCCACTGGGACCGTAGACTTTTTGGAACGCTCATGGGAATAGGAGCATGGCCTCCAGACATGATACTTTCAAAAAGGACGACAATTGTGAATGCAGTACGTCCGCATCGGTAACGACATGGAAAATGGATGCCACAACATCCGCCCCTACCAACCTCAGCCGCAATACACTCCCCAAATTACATTACAACTTCGCTAACGAAACTGTTATCAGATCGAGCAGAGGCACTATACTAAGTCACTAAGAGTGTCGGTATATATCTAAGGCTTTGGTACATGTGCTGCTTCTGTTCAGTCGTTATCAGGGTTTGATGGACGTATAACCCACTAAAGTGTCCAAAATGCTTCGAGTTATTCCTTAGTATTTTTTCTCTTCATAATGCTTGTTCGTCACTTTGACATAAATTTTTAAACAACTGTGAACGAAAAAAATATTGAGATCTGGAACTTGTACTTATGATGATATATGCAATTCAAATCCCTGTAAAAGATTCTTCTGCGAATGCTTGTTTTAATGAATAAATAATATAACCCAGAGATAATTGCGCGATCGAGGACGTTTGTCTTTGGTCTGGTCGCGCTCATTTAGGTATCGTACTTTGACTAAAGAACGTGTTATTATTTTGCCATTTCCAAAGCCTGAAATGTTGTGGCCCAGTTCTTCACTTGTTACATGTGGAATGCTATAGCAGAACGAGTCAGGTATTTAATTGCACCTAAACGTCTAGAAGTCTCAAATTGTTATGTTTGCATTCATAGGTGAGGCTTACGCGGTTTAAAAAGTGAAACTTTCGTACACCTAGTAATAGTCTCACGGCGCAGAATATTTTCGTGGTTTTCTCAGAACGTTCTTCTTATTTAGACAGGTTGCAGAATCTGTAGCGCTAGCTCAGCGCTGCGCAGTTCATATCTATTATTGCGTTTTGGATAAAGATGGCTCATTACTCTGCGCAGCCTGCCCATTCTACGAGTCTATTTTTTGGTGGTATTATGCCCTATTCTCGTATATGGGTTATCAGGCCGGCCAGTTTAGTAGACCCGAGAATACATTAAATGGCCTCATGGAATGAAAGGAAAGAGTGAATGAATGTATTGTAGCTGGAAAGTCAGCCGCCTTCCTAGTGACAGTGCATGCTCCACAACCCACGAATCCTCCAATTATCTTTCTGATTCGTTCGTATTTACGCTATTCTCACCGTAGAGACTAACCAACCTTGATCGTTTACAATAGTTCAAGTTTTTTCATGAATAACTGAGCGACTTGGGCACTTACCTATTTTTTTATTCGCGAATTTAAGGTCACCCTCTTCTGGGTGATGTTTTATGGTGTATATCCTCGGAAACTGACCAAAATTGTATAACATTGCGTCATGCATAATCCGAATCTTGACAGCGGAATGGCGGGCTTCTTGAAGTGAATATCTAGGCTATATTGAAAACTGATGGTTTTCGATACCTCAGACACACAATGGTTTCCTACTTTTGGGTCTCATATTCGTTTTCTTCTCGAATTCATCTTCGAAATGTTAGTCATTTGTTCTTATTCTCTTCTTTCATGGAGTCGAAACCCTTTCTTGAGACATATCATCCGACTGGTTGCAGTCTAGCTCTCTGTTATTTCATGGCCTTAAGTCCACCCCTAAAGTTTTGGTACCTTCCATAATGATACTTTTAAATAAGAATGATGTTGCCTCATATGGTTTCCGCGAATACGCTGGGTTTGCGGTATTTTCGTGTTTAGTGATAAATTTTGTATTGTTGCTCATCCCACGACGAAGTATTTTGCGTATTTCCCGCTAGTATGAAGGGCTTTGTAACCAAACTTACTAGCGATACAACGTGAGTTTCATTCGGTTCTCCAGTTGGATCTGTGTGTATCTCAGGTGACCCTCAACATATGGGCGTATGCTCAAATTATTATTCGTTTCTATCTCTCGTTCTTTGTTCAAACTAAAGGCTCGCCGTATCCAGAAATGTATACTTTACACTGAAGTTGAGCATGCTGGGTGGATGAGTTGATTTCGCGCTTTTTCAGCTTACCGTCACACCAGTTCCTAATTTGACTTCCGCCAAACTCCACCAAAGCCAACAGTTTTAGCCTAGTTGTCGAGTTTAGACTACAAAATTCAAATTCCATTCCGCGCAAGCATGCCTGTTTACTGCTGAATTGTAGCAAGGTAAAACAATTCCGCCCCTTTTTATTCGACGTTCCAATCTATTTAGATACTAATTCATCTAAGCAATGTAAAGAGTGCACCCCACATCTTTATGTCGCAGAGTTGTTCGAAACAGCAATGACTACCCGACGCCAGTCTTATCTACGTTTCGCGATGACTGGGGATATTAGAAGAGTTGCACGGCAAAAGCCGCCTCTTTCGATAAAATTCACGATATTAGTTACTAAAGCATATGTAATAGCGATATGGACGAAGTTTGGTCTTTCATTTGTGACTTTGTGCGTATTATGCTGATAGAAGAACGTTAACTTCTAGCGCAATGATGGGCGAACCATGAGGTGACTTGCCTTTGTGAAAATCAAATTATACGACTTCGGTCTCGGATTTATCTTATAATCGATGACAACTTTTGTGACGCACTCCTTTCCAAATCCTTACGTAAACCGTCATTTTCTTATAGGCGCTGTCCGGAATTTTATTTGTGCATATTCTGCCAATATTCGCCCGTTAATTCCCTCCTCCATACTATATTAAATTCCTCATTACTGTTCTTCACGTTTAGTTTTTGCTCAATCCTTTCTCCTGGTTAATGCTATTCTTTCCGTTTGTCCTCTTAATCATCTTTCTGTTTATTCCAACCATAGAAGATTTTCAAAGGTGCTTTATCGATGTTCGTGTTGCAGATATCTAGAAATATCAGCTGTCGTTTTATCCTTGGTAGTAAAACGATAAGCCGCCGAAATAGCGAGCTATCTCTTAATCTTACCATACAGGCAATGTGGCCCAGTAACCCTAACGAATGTCACGTGGGCTTGTTTCAATTCACTCTAGCGTTTTTAGATCTTTGTTTTTGCAGAACTATAGAATTCAAAAAGCACCCCCTCTACCAATTTACGAGTCTCTGATTTTCGTACTGATTACTTTCCATCGTTTCACGCATCCATGTACACCACGTTAGTGATAACTCATCGTAGTCGAGATGTCTATTTAACGTTAGAGCTATGTTTAATTTTATGAGAAGGGTTAATACCTATTATAAGCAATTGTCGGTTGTCGTCGCAAGTTTGGAGATGCTTTAGCAAAGTTGGATTTCACGGAAGAGTTGGATTGCACTAATGTTTTCCGAAGCTTGCGTATATCATACCTGACACATTGGTACCCGTTGTTTGGAAAAATAATTGTGACGCCTCTTTAGCTGACTGTTGTATGTAACTAGTCGAAACCGTGGTTTATGTCGCCGTCTGGTAGTGATTTTACTCATAGAGTCGTGCATAATCATCTTAGAAAGGAGAATGATCAGGCGCCTGCCTCCCTGAACTTTGTGTATAGGACTATGTATTTTGGAGTTTTCAGTGAAACTGCCCCACGTTCTTTAAAGAAGCTCATGATCAAATCAAACGACCTTCAATAAATTGTTAACTTGTTAGGTGTTTGCGGAGTTATTCACGCAAGCGGCAGCAAGAAATTTCATCGGTCAGTACGACCTACTACCTTTGCGCCAACGAAGCTTTAATTATTGTCAGCAAAATTTCGTTGCTAAGCATCCTAAACCAGTTCTTTGCAATTTTTCCAAATACGTATTTTGCCAAGTTCAAGGAAGACGACCGGCAGGTGCCCCCGCCAGATGAGAAATTAGGAGCGGTCCTAGTATCAAGTGGTCTACAAGAACAGCCTGTAGTGCATCGATTCTTAGCGTTTTCACTAAACTTTAGAACTATACAGAAGCGGTATTTCAGAAGCTTTATGCCAACTGCAGAATTTTCGTAGGCAAAACAGCTGAGGACTCTCTCTTTATCTTATATTGATGTGAGGCATTTTGAAAGTTTTTTAGTTCACAGTCTGCGCACTGAACCCTGACTTGTCCCGGCAAAGATCGTTAGACGGGAAAATATATGTGTTATACCGTCCAAAATGTTGCCAGGGCACGCGGTTTTGGGATTACGCAGTAATGAAAACCCAAGATACTCATGCCCAATGAAAGTCAAAGTCGGCTGGATTTTCTTAAGCCGCCTGCTTTGGCCTGTCATATTTCAGTACCAATCAATCTCCATAAGCGCACTTGTAGAAATTGTCAGTAGCTTGCACGCACGCTCGAATTCAGCGTTCAACGAGAAATTTGAGTAGTCTTGTTTATGACAGATATTACACAGTGGCATAGATGCCTTCTAGAGCTGCGACTGGCACACCATTTGCAGAATTGCCCGACTCCTTGCTTTCCCAATCGTCAAAGTAGATGTAATTATGACACCTTACGATTGTCTTTGCGCTGTACATCAAGTTATTTTCATTCAAAATGGATTAGCCTACAGTTGCTTCGGTTCTTCGTGCCCTCAAACCTCTTTGTATTTTGATCCGTGCCTTCCAATAGCAATGCGTCCTTGTGAAGTATTGCTGTTCTCACGTTTAGTGCGTGTGCTCCTCTGACACGTTCACCTTGGCACCACGTTCGTTTTTTTCGATTGAAAAAACGTTTATGCAGGCTCACATAGTCTTGACTGTCAGCCGCCGTGCTTTCTTCCTCCTTCTTCACTTCGAGACGCCCCCAGTTCGCACTTTCATTTGACGGAGAAATCTTTGTTTGTTGCAATTTGTCTGTTCACTTGCTAACGTGGTGCTCGCTTGTGGGGACCTCTTTCTGCTAGTGCATTTAACACATTTCGCCCTAAACTTTGCTATCCGTATAGGTGTTGCTTTCTGTCCTCTGATAATGACTGAAATTATCTTTTCTTGCAGTGAACCATGCTTGTCAGTACCTATGATAATTCGTCGAGCAGACTCATGAAGGGGCGTGTCGCACCCTTTGTTCAGGTAGGTCCTCAGTTTTCTGCATAGCCTGCTTATTAAATAATTCTGTCCTCTCTCTGTCCTCGCAAATTTGGGGTGAACGGCGGGCTTATTTGCGGCCGTTTCAGGCCTTCAACGGGCGTTACAGCAGACTGAGGTGATATCTTATGGTCGGTGCATTGTATTTGCATAAACGCACAGGTTCGTTAGCGCATGCAGTGTTAGCCCATTGCCTTGCCATGTTGTAGTGGTTGTTTGACCTATCACTGGTACCACGTCCCGAAATTTATGCGCCCATTTCTAACGGTCAACAGATTCTCTGAGCAAACGTCACTTCAGTGGGATTTAGGAACCAAGTTGTTATGCAGGCTACCAAGTCTGTTCCATCTTCTGTACTCAACAGACAGACCCTCACCGATTCATAAAATCAACTCTTCATTCATCAACCGAAGTATCAAAATTTAGCGACCGTCATATTGACAAAAAACTGTTGCTGTCCGGTCTAACGACCTTGTACTCGGAATCCATACTTTCCGAGTAAAGTCTTCATGATGGCAAATCGTGCGAGACGACATTTCATCCTTCTTCCCTTTTCATGCGTCTGATATCAAGCTCTGCATAATTGCCTAGTTTACATGTTCAGCTGCATAAACGAAGCGTTAATCCCACAATATCACAAAATATTTGCAATTGTTTGTTCAGTGGGCTGCATAAATTGGAAGTTGCTCGGATTATACGGTTTTATGCAGATAAATCGAACTTGACTCATTTTTATTGGATCGCAAACTATGCTGCGCTTTTCTATTGTTTCCTACCTCTAAATTTTGTAGCAAGATACTTCTACCAATATTGTGTCTTACCGCGTGCTGGGTCTTAGTATGGTTTGTGTTTCGCTTTCCTTTATACACCCTGGTTAATGTGCCACTGAGTCCGTTCTCGTATCATCACACTGTCTCGTCTCTTGCATAAACATAAGCGTGACTGCTTCTGTCGTGAAGTCACACTGACCTCCCGAATCGACTCGATTGTCTTAAGGTCTCCGCAAGTTTGGGTGTCGGGCGTTTAGGGCATAGGGGGTGGAAAAGACCCTGAACTGAGCAAGTTGTCAATTTTTAGTGTAAGATGCCAGTTTGTACGGAAAAGAGAGCAATGAAAACTAGGGGGGAAGGGGCTGGTAACCGAACCCTCAGCGAAGTCCAATTGTGCCACTCATCTTTCGAAAAGGCCAGGCTTTTGTGAGAGGTTGACCCCAGTTCTGCGCAGTACACATACGCTTGTGCCTCCTACAGACAGAGTGCGCCTAAGACCTTTGCTAGTCGAGTATGCGAATCGCCTCTTCATGTTCACACTAGGCTCGATGAGGCGTCAGGTCTTCTACCTTTTCCACCGCTCCCCCCTATACCGAGTTGGCAACCATGTAGGTCGTTTAGTTCCAGAAGTCTCATACACGGCTTACCAGTACTCCAATGCTGTCTCTCCCCCCAGTTTGTGTGAACTAAGTCGTCCTATGTAAACGGTGTCATTTGAGACAACGTATTGTTTGCAGCCGTGATTCATCTGGGAATCCAGGCATTAGGGGTACTGACGAACAGACAGCACCCTGCTGCATATAATGCTTCACACTTGTCACAAAATAACCTTTCTTCCGACTGTATACACACCAAAAGCGCTTTTAAACTACTCCACCAAAAAAATCATCTCATCATCTTCCGTCTATTGCACAATGTTTTGACCAGCAGTCATGTGATTACCTGACAAAAATGACTCAGGCAGCACATGCAGGAAGGAGTAAGATTTTCGCTCTCACCCAATTAGTGAGCAATCCTGACCGCACTTAGAAGTAACTTGATGACTTTAGCGCGGCAAATAACTCGTTTTATTGTTGCTTGTACACATGGTTTACGTCCGCTTAGTATGTATCGCCGAATGGCATTTAGATGATGCTGTGCTTCTAATAAGGGCATATTCGGCAACCTGGGACCTTCGCAACAAGTGGAAATTGCACCTATATGCTCCACGGCAAAACCGACGGTCCACTTTGTTTCGAAACATCGATTTCTTCCTAAAACCATGTTTGTTAGCTCGACGTCTTACCGCAATAAACAGGCCGTCTCCCATCATTTTTCTGTGAGCCAATAAAGCGGTTAGGTGAGCTGCATGGTGGTATCTGGCAAAAGTGGCGTGAAGGAGAAAGTGTTTAAACCCCCTTGACCTCCACAGGTAAGCATGCAGCTCCGCTGCTTGCCTCCCTCTCTCGAGGAGGTAATAGACGCCAAACTGTTACTTCCAAAGTTAAGATTGAATCCTGATGACCCCTATGTTTGACCTCACGGACTCATTTTCCCCCACAATCCTTTTACGCCAAGCCTGCAACGGTGGGGTGAAGGACCCCACTTAACTATCGGTGGACTGTTGATCGTGTCATACGGGGACGGTGGTAATGGGGGTTTTACAAGTGGGGGAGCACGCCAGACAGTAAGCTGACGAAATGCAAGAACACACAGAAACCGTCTGGATTTCTACCGAAAGTCTCATCGTACGCTTTCGTATGACAACGGACATAATTATCATTGACAGCGTTATATCTGCAGCGGCCTGCAACTGGATGCCAAGATAAAACCACATATGACACGATCGCCAGTCTACCGATAGTTAAGTGGGACACGTCACCTTACCGTTGCACTTAGGCCTTAGTCATCTGCGAAAAGTGCTTAAGACACCCTAGAAAATAGGAGCATCGCTTTCTACGATAGCCTTCGAGGCACGAGAACCTCATTTTATTTCCCCTAGTAGGATGAAGATATGAACATTTAGGCGAAGTCAACGGACAGTTCGACCACCGTTTCCAATTATATCTACTGCATGCCTCAGCAGGGGCGGTGATTTGAGCATAAACTAGTTTATAATGATAGTGGGCTCGCATCTCAAATAACGCCTATCGATCCCTGATCTGATCCCCGTATTGACCCAGCGCATCTACCGCGTGGCCTGTTTTAGGGACCACTACTGACCCACAGACTTTCTGGTGACTTGCACGTACCAGTTTGTTTATAGTGAAGTGGACGTTTGCAGTATCTACTGTATTCTGCTTACACCCACCATGCTCGGGTGGTAAGAAGAATCTACTCGTTTTAAAATGCCTGCGGAGCATTGCCTGCCAAGACCGAGTGGTCCATTCACACGTGCTACGCACATTTTGGTTCCCAGATCCTCCACAAACCAGGTTTAAGAGAAAGAAGACTATTTACTCTCACATAGGTGAGACCAGTTATAAAAACTACAATAAGGGGAATCACTGCAGCCTGGTCGTCGTTCCGAGTGAAACTCAGTTGCCCCTGGGTTTGGAAATCCTTCAAGCAATAACTTACCACTCTTAGGTTGTTTGTAGCGAGGAACCTAGATGCTGCGGCGGAGTGACATTGCTTCCATCCTCCTTTCTTCATAAAAATGACCTGTTCGAGCCTTTCGACTGACTGAAGATGTGACCGCGGCTAATGACTGGCGTGGTGTAAGAACTGCCATCTACTCCCGTCGGCCTTTCACTCCATTCGAGCCAAACTTTGCCTAAATATAGATTTCAAATAGATGAGAGACGCACATGCTCATGTATGATGCTTTGATCGTCACTACGGCGTTTGTAAATTTCATCGCATGATTGTTGCAGGTGTACTGTGCGATGTTTGCTTTATGTCTGACGTGTATATGCGTGTGGTGGATTAAACCTGTGCGTGGTTTAAGTGTGTAAGGGAAATATGATGTCATAAGGGGCACCTGGGCTGTGTTGTTTTGGTGGTCATTGTCATATATGCACATATGGTCGAAAAGATGAATGAACCGGGAGAATAGGGGATAAATAGAGCGAATATGACGAGAATTGTTCAAGACTCCTGACACTGTTTCTTGTACTTTGCTCTTGATGCTCAGAAGATCGCTCAAGTTACTGCATATCTCTTGTTCTTGAGATTAGTTGATCGGAGATTTCACAGCATTGATGTATTCTTTCACATCGTCTCTGGTTGGATGTGCCTAAGTTCCCTCATGTAAAGATGCACAGTTTCAGACCCTTCTACTCCTTCATTCACTCTTCAGGTTCTCGACGAATCCATGTGCGTAATCAGGGAAGACATTTGTGACTGGCTCCAGCGCTACCTTTTCAGTAAGTCGGACGTTGCCGCACTGTCTGACGCTGTCGACCTTTTGGAGCGTCTGAAGTCTGGTCTCTGGTTGGCACGACTTGCGTACAAGCTGCATTACAAGGTCCTTGCTACCAGCTTGCCAGAACCGAAGACAGCAGAGCATAGCACAGTCAAAGGAGCTAACTCGCGAAAAGGACAAGTGGTCACCTCGCGAGAGCACCGATTGTATGCCAGCCTCCGCGGCGCCGGCCCCAGTTCTGCCCTCGGTCAGCTGTCAGCTGAAACACTGCCCGTCTTTCCACGAACTCTCAAAATTGCCTCTGAGGCACCTCTTGGTCCGAACGATGTCAGTGTTTTTCCTCACACCTCCCGAAATCCAGCCAACTTTGGAGTGGAAAACATCGCTGTGATGCGTATTCAATCGCAGTCTCCGAGCCGCAGCGGGTCAGTGCCTTCCAGACTAGCCACCGACTCCGTTGCAATTCACTGGGCAGCCCGTGACAATATCTCAGCCTTTCTCACTTGGTGTCGGGACCTGGGACTAGCAGAGACAATCCTGTTTGAAACCACTGGATTAGGTTTGTAGCCGTCATTTCCTCTACGTGCATCACTCTTGGTCTACCTATATTTCGCTTTGAGTAGTCGGCTATAGTTACGTAGGACTTATGTGGGATGCAGTTTTGTGTACTACGACAACAGCAGCAACAGCAGCAACAACAACAAGAACCACCACCACCGTATGTATTTGACTGGTCCTGGGTTTTTTGCCGAGGTGCCTGAGGATATCCCTGTACCCGCTACTTCCATATCTTAAATACTCACTAGTTTTACCACTGGAAAGTTCGTACCCAATACCGGGCTTATTTTTATTCCTTTTTGGCTTGTTGTCTATGAATAGTTGGCGGTCAAAAAAGTCGCAGCAGTTAAAAAGTGCACCGTCACGTGCTTGCTTGCTGGGGACCATATGTCTCTAATCTTGATCCTCTGTACCGTAATCATCACCTGTCTTCCGTTGACTAATCTTCTAGGATAAGAGTGCACAATTTGTAGACTAATCTTTCTGGACTTTGGGCCCTTTCACCTCCAGCTAGGGCCTGGAACACTGTCTAACCTACATGGACCACTCCCTCATGACGTTCATTCAAGGGTAAACATCAGAACGGGTGTCCTCACTTATAATCTAAAGTCTCCGGTATACCGAAGAAAGACACTTCTTCAATACATTTGGTCCTCCAAGTCTAATTTATCTTTCCGTCCCTTCTTGCATTTAAACACAGGCATCAATAAAGGTAATTCCAAACTCACGTCAGTTGGTCAATCGAGTGATTAAATCACAGTCCACTGCGCATCTGACTTCATTTTCAGCGAACCTAATAAATGTCCACTTGGACTATGGTACTCTCTGTCTGTGGCACTTACACGTAAACGTTCGGTTCTTCAAGAGCACTTGTTATGCAAGCGCATCACTTGAGTTTACAAGTTAACTTGTTTTCTTCCTTCGGAAGAAGGCCAGGTACCGGACGATAGTCCCTAAAATTATCGCAACAATTTCGACTGACTGTTTAATCAGATAGGTTGGCGGGTGTGTATGTACATTACAGTAGCTGGGCTATCCAAAGAAATGTTAGTGTAAATTCTTTCTGTCTGATAAGATTGCTTGGGTAGGATTACAAATTGTATTATTCGTAGATGCTTTGGTAGATTTTGAGTAATTCGGCGTTTTGGTGAGATTCGAACCCACGACAGCAAAGAAAGGCCTTATTACAGTCAGCGCTCTAGCCAACTGGTCTACGAGGCCCCACTGGCATGGGTTATAGTAAAGCATTATTCCGAGATAAGTCAGTGACGCCAGGGTGGCGGTTTTTCAATGAGCTTTCCGGCCGCCTCCGAATTCACAATCGGTGAAAAGTACTACTTAGGTAGTGTGCATTTTTCGAATTGATTTTCGGTACCCTTATAAATTCGAATATAATTGATAGAAAATATACATAAATATTCTTTATTGTACTAGTTTGGCGGTCGATCCTGTCTTCTGGAAATTATATACTTAACGAACCGGCAGTTTTTGGTTTTCGGAAGATTTTATTTGCTGAGTAATTTTGAATTCAACTTGTCGTTACGCCTACATTCGTGGGTTTCAAAACTATAGTTTGTGTGCTTTCCATGTGAAAGAGATCATACGGTAGGTGTGCTAACTCATGAAATGTTAACCGAAATTCTGAAATGCGTTTCCGACTCGAATAGAATACTTCAGTAGGGTTGTATTATTAATCACCGTACAGCATAATCCTATGACATTTCAATTACTTCAGAATGTCAGTTTTTCAAGGAACTTTCAGGCTAGATGAAAAAATGACGTCCTGTAAAAAACTCACTAATAATGGGGTATGAATTTTTCAAATTGATTTTTGATGGCCTTAAAAGTCCAATTATATTTAATGGAAAACACGCATACAGATATTCCTTCTTTTATTCATTCAATAGAAAATTACGTTTTCTTCCAGTTTTATTCTCGAAGGAAGAGCATAATTCTGTTTTCAAAAAGTATCCAACTCCCGAGTAATTTTGAACCCAACCTACCGTTGCACTTGAATTCAGGGTTTACGAACTACCAACCATGCATTTTCTGTGTACGGAAAACCATACATTTCTCTACAGTCTTAGAAGGAGACCATATGGGGTTCATGAAATTTAGCAACGAAAAGACGTTATTTTCTGCCGAATAAGCAGAAGAATGAATATTACTATGCATTTTTCTATGAAATATAATTGAATTTTTAGGGGCATCGGTAATGCGAAAAATTCATGCTACTTAAGTAGTCATTTTTACAAAGTCTCGCGATTAAAAACTTTATTATAACCAGAAGATAAACTTCCCGTAATTATAAAATTTGAAGAAGACAGGGTTGCCTACCAATCGAATAATATAAATAATATTTTCGTGCATTTTTCTACCAAATATATTTTAATCTATAAGGGTACCGAAAATCGATTCAAAAAATCCACATTACCTAAGTAGTCACTTTCGCCGATTGTGCATTTGCACGGATAGGGGGGTCACAGGGATAAAAGCACTCGTCAGGTGACATGTCGAATGGACCGGTCATTGGTTAAGAAATTGAAATAAAACTAACGCGTGCAATCACACGCATGACATTTTCTGTGTATCAAGAGAACTTTTTTTCTCAAAATGACTATATCGTTTTTGACAACGGTAATACCTATTGACTTTTAGCGTGTACCTGTAATTTTCGGGAATAATTCGTGGGTCTTGGTGTTCTCCACCAGCTAAGACAAGTTTTCTTGGTAAGACACAGAATTGGATGCCTAACTTTGTGTGAGAGGTGGCCTTGGGCTGAATTCCAGTGCAGTACCTATTCCTGTGCCCTAACCTCAATCCTGACAGTAACCCTAACTCTTCCCTAACCCCCCCCCTTTGGGATCTAGCGCAAGACCGCCTCTTATACGGGGTGCATATTTCCACATTCTACCAGTTTTGCACTTTATATATATATCAAAACTTTAGAATTATGACTGTTCTTGAGAACATCTGCCTAGGTTATGAGTTCTTGGCTGTTCCCTGTTGTGCAGATAGCAGTTTTAGTCATGTATGCGGATGCACCCAAACATGAGACATAATTACCGAAGAAAAAGAACGCCAATAACGTAGACCTGCGATTTATGTGTTCACGCTCGGTTAAAAAACTACTTAAACGTAGTTTCTTAGAAGGTGCTTTGATAGGGCATTTCGCTGACGAATGTCCACACACTTTGCCTTCCTCCAAAGTAAAGTCAAGGAAGGAGTTTGGGAGATTTTCCTGATTATGCACTTCCCTAAAGGTAAATATTATTATACAGCTTTTAGGGTTTGAATTTTTAAAAAAAACATCTGGGTTTCTGAACACAGCGTTTTTATTCCTATCCTGCTTCACTTGATGTATGCAGAACAAAGAGTCAATTTTGGACGATGCGAATGTTTTTTTGGTATATCTTCCCCATTTAGATTAATGCCTCCTTGTAGAAGAACATGCACTGATGCACAAATATGTCAGGATTTGGTCCAAATATAAAGTAGCGTTGATTTCCGCTCATATTTGCACTTTTTCGCGTATTCTGTATCCAGAAAGAACTTTCCAGCAAGGCATAAGGCGAGTAAATTGGAAGCCATGACGTTTGAAGTCGCCCTAGGTTGTTAAATGCAATTCCTTTCATTAGGTTGCATGAATTGCTTCACCTGCTGTACTTTTGACGTTTTTTCCCATACAGGTAGAATTTTAAGATGTTTGTTTCTATATAAGGATTTGCAGAAGGAGGGACCGTTCACGATTCCGTGGATAAGGACCTTTTGCGAGATTTGCCACTGGGGCACTTGGAGGTTGGAAAATGGAGATCATGACGGATGAATCAGATTGAGGAACTGCCGTAGGCCGACGAAATCTCAAGCCATAAAGTAAGGGACGTTGGGTCACGGCGGTTGTAGGGTCTGGACGTCATTCTTATGCATTCACAGGGCCAGCATGCACAGTCTGACCACTGTCTCTTTCGTTTTTGTTGGTAGACGCTGTCGTAATAACATCTGGAAGGGAGTCTGCATTTGGCTCTCAGCTTGGTTACTTACTGTGATCTGTATGCTGCATGCATCCAGTCAACTATAGCAGCTGGGCTGTTCATGTAAATTTAGAACTTTTATCAAAGTCTTTTTATTCGCGTCATCGTGACCCTGTAATGAAAATCTTAAAATTAGCCTTCAGATGAATATTTGGTTGAAACTGCACCACGGGTATGCATAGTACGCATTCGGACATTTCTTCATACGTCTGCTCACGTACAGCAGTCGTCGGAATAGTGCGTTTTTGATTTTTCCAATGACTTTTCAGTAGGAAGTATTAGCGAACACGTTTCTTATGGCTCTTTGGGTGGAGTTATGGTACCCTTCGATTCGCTATGTACAGTGGGTAGTCACATTTATTGAACAAAGTGCGAATCCAAAATATTCCTTCAAAATACTAACAAGAACTGACAATTCCTTATAAGGTGGTTCACAGATCGTCATAAATACACAAGACTCATCGTTAGCTATTAAGATATATATCATTCTGCGTCTTGCATAGCAAAAAGATCCTGCTAACCTCACAACAGACATTCGGTTGTAATATAAATTAAAGCATTTTCCCTCAAAATCAGAATAACTGGGGAATTTCTGAACACATACAATGGGGGTTTTCTTCAAATTTTGATAGAAATTAGCCTGAGATGATAATTTGTTGCAGCAAAGTTTCAGTGACCAATAACTCATAGAAGCAAGGATGACGCGTAGACTGAGACATCAAAATAACCAGCGTTGGTTCATGCAAGTTTTTTAAACCGATATTACTCTGAAATGTTTTGCCTCGTTCGCTGAAGGTTTTAAAGCGTCTTCTTTCCTACGTTCTAGTATTTTAATGAAATATCTGTTTATTCTTATTCTGGGCTTTTATATGGGTTGTGCTAATTATTTTCAGTGCTGTAACTTTATATGGAGACACGAAGACCCCAAGTTACTACTGAATTTTTATTGGTAACAATTCGTTTTTAACGAAATTGCCCGGACTAGGGAAATTAGTCACTAAAGAGCATTTGCTCTCCAATTCCCAATGCATCCAAAACTTCTGAGTACCCCAGGATTGTAGCAGAAGTCCTTTTACTGTTTCCATCTTTTATTTTTTTCCAACTGAACTGCGTTTTAGGACTTGCAACATAAAAGCCTTCCTGTTATATTTTTTGAAAGTCAAAATTTTCCATTTGTTTAAGCGTCAAGAAGTTTAAAAATCACGTGCTAACGAGGTAGTGACATTTTTCTGAATGACTGTAGTGGATTACATGAAACAGTTCACTAGAGAATTAGCGTAACCCTTCATGTGCCTGTGTGACGTTGGGATTGCAACTCTTCTGGAGTCTCACCCCCTCAGTTCAAGACACATTTAAAAATTTCAGCCAGTGTTTGGGATTTCCACGCCACAGATTTACGCAAGTCACGCATGTTGATGCTCGTCTATCCGAATAGCGAACACATTTTAGGCCTGGTTTCCCTGCCTCCCCACATTCGGGGTCCGAGTGCCTCATGTGCAAACACACAGATAGGTAAACATGAAAACCCTGTCGCCATTTTGTTACACACACACGCACACACATAGTGCTTGTTCTACCACACTCACATGCGAAGATGAACTGGCCTCCGCTTCTCTTCTGTGCCCTCTCATCTGCTTGTTAATGCAGACTCGCTGTCGCGCGTTTATCTATGTGCCGACTCGAAAGACGCCATCAGCCGAGTTAGTTTTTGGCTTCGTATATGTGTATGTTTTTGCACACGTGACTGGTCTTATGCGTATAAAGCAGCAACTTCGACAGCAGCCGCATCAGAGCTCGCCTCATCCCGTCTGTGTCTCGTGCTGACCTGAATTTAAGCTCTTGTGACCTGAGTCCTCGCTATCGTTTCTGTTCGGCGTACAACTTCCCACCCCTCCGTCCTGGACCCGACTCTCATTCAGATTCTCTCAATGCGCGTTGATACTCACCTTGATCTTATGAAAACGCTCGACACCACCTCCCCCGCGTCCTACTTGCTCGGAATTCACCCTTAGCTGAGATGCGGATTCAAACGAAGACAACTCGGAAGGAGCTGTTCTGACGATATTCGTTTTGACTAACACGTCCATCTTAGATTGAGTTTGGGGCCTTTGTTCAGTGTCAGTCAGTAGTGTAGTCGAATTCAAACCTGTTGAGGAATGTTCGAGTGATCATGATTTGGATTTGCTGCAGTGTCTTCATTTGGCTCGTAGATTCAAAAGATGTCACTTTCACTGTTGTGTTTAGGTCTCCAAATCAATCTGTAGAAGAAGACCAAGCGTTGATCACTCGACTACGCGAGGACAGTCAGAGGCAAAACATGGATTCCGGTACTCTGCTCTCAAACTGTGACCTTATGACGGTTAAGTACCATAGGCAAGGATTCTACCAAATGCTTTTGAGCATGACACTCGATCAATCCCTCCTTCGGCATGCCCGGGAAACGTTTGGAATGCTTGAAGGCCAGAGGTCTAGTTTCCTGGATCATGCATTCACCAAGAGTGAGGAAACTATTGATGAAATAATTGTAGGTCCGCCCTTAGGTTCCTCTGGTCACACGAAATTAATGTAAGAATCAACATTTGTAGCTGTCCCCGAATGAAGTTATCGAGGAATATCTGGCGAGGTAGCTTTGAGGGAATAAAATCGGCAAGTAGACACATACTGTGGACGGTTGTGTTACGAGGTGTCAACGAATGTTGGGGATCTTTGAATTAACTATGACAGACTTGGTTGAATTGTACTCTTCCCTCCAAAAACATTCTACCAGAAGCAGACAAAGATGGCTTTCGACCGTGGTAGAGAAGGATATCTGAAAAAAGCGCAAGTTGTGAAAAACCTTTTTACAAACATAGAGCCCAGAAAAACTGAACGACCTCAGACGACAACGCAACCTATGCAAAATACTTCTCCGTCAAAACATGCATCTTACGAAGTGGAGTTCCTGGAAGAAGCACCACAAAACCCAAAGCACTCTGTGCTTACATCAGAAGTAATACCAAAGATCATGACTACTTCGTAACCGTAAACAACGAAAACAACCGAATTTTGAGTGATGGCCTCCAAAACGCCGACCTTATCTCTGAATTTCTCCAAAGTGTTTGTATCACGGAAGCCCAAATGCAGCCCAGATCTCTGTCACAGTTTCTTACCAGCTCACTTATGCACATTATTATTTACGCCGCAGTTAGTTTTGACCGAATCAAAGAAGTTGGGTCCGGCAACGTCACCTTGGCCAGGTGAGATCCCAGGTGCACTTCTACGCCAAATACTTGAAGAATTAACCGAACCGTTGCGTGCCATCTTCTGAAAGTCTCCTGAAGCTGGTTATCTTTACGATACACGGAAACGGGCAAACATTGTATCCATCCATGAGGGTGAGTCACGGCTATATCCCACCTACTACCGACCGGTCAGTCTGACATGCGTCTGCTGTGAGCTGATGGAGAGAGTAATTGAAAATCAGTTATACCGCTTGCTACATTTCGCTGTCAGATCAGCTCAGCTCTGCATGGTTTCTGCGAAAAGAGGTCATGTCTTACAAACCCCCTCACATCGTATGAACGTTGGTCAAAAGCAGTAGGCGAAGGACATCGAGTTGATTTCATTTACTGTGACTATCAAGACTTTTGATTGACTTCCACAAACGTGGCTCATTGAAAAGGTATCAGATTTAAGAATTATAGGAGACCTCTTGAACTGATCGCAGACAAAGGGTTGCTGCAGCTGTCTACTGTTCAAAATAGGCGTCTGTTAAAAGTGGAGTCCTACAAGGATCAGTTTTTTGGGTCGCTCCTATTTATTATCCATCTAATTGACCTAGTATACGAGGTGAACTGCGACATACCGCTCTTGACAGATGACCCTAAGCTGCAGAAGGTAATAAAATATGAGGGTGACTCGCGGATATTACAACAGGATATAGAAAGGCTGCAGACATGGAGCAAGCCCTTGTGCATGGAATTCAATGTCGAAAAGTGTGTGTTACTGCACATAATGTCAATGAGACGAAGGTGAAATTTACCTTCACGACAGTATATCACGAAAAATCAACCACTTAAAGCGTAAATGTGCAAAGAGACCTTGGAGTGTTTGTGAACGACGATTTAAGCGTAACGACGCAGTGCTCCAAAGTCGCACCGTGGGCGGTGTAAATTATGAGGTCAATACGCAGAACGTTTGTCAAACTGTATGCGGATACCTTCTATAAGGTATACAGAGTAATTGTACGGCCACACCTGGAAGTTGCGGTTCATGCTTGGCGGCCGTGACCTCCGAAAGACAGATACTCTTGAAGGGTTACAACGACGTGCTACAAGCTTGTTCTTGAACTCGAGAATTTGACGCACGAACGGTGTCTGACCTTAAACCTCTACCCCCTCTACAATAGATAAGACGGTGACTTTATGCTAACGTTTCAGTTGCTACGGGGACTTTTCAGCTGTCTATAAAGGTGGAGCAACCTTATTCAATACTTTTCTATAAGGAGCAATCCCCATTTTCCCCTGCCACAACTTTACTATGCCGTGTTTTGCAGTATAAATCTGATACTTTGTAATTCGCCCTATCCTGACTATGATTTTAGTTTCTTTTGGATGTCGTTTTCCGGTCGAGGGGTTCGAGCGATGTTCGTGGATTAGGCAGGCCATTGGAATGAAGTAGTATTCACTGCCACAAAAACAGCTACTTATTGAAAGTTAGTAATTATATAATCTCTCCCGTTTTAGTTCACCGAACTGAAGAAAAAAACGTCCTCCTTACACTCATGGATCTTGCTCGAATCGCCAGCCGATTTGGTCTCTGTGATCTTCCAGAACTGGTAAAGATGGAACGAGAGATTGAAGCCCTGGAGGCCAAGCGTAACCAAGAGATCACAGTGGCCTCAGAGAACTGCTTTTCCGCGCAACAGCTGTCTAAGTCAACCAAGGCCAGCGAGCCACAGATTGATCGTCAGGAGTACATTCGACGGATTGCCAGCAACAAACTGTTATTGGAGAGCGCACCTAGAAACACTGTCTCAAACGGGGTCCTTCAGTCTAGCGGGGATCATGATAATTCTTGCAATTCATCCCTCGATCTCACCGCAACGGCCACTGACCGTACTTTCTTCTCAGATGATGGAACCGACAGTGGTTGTCTTGACTTCACCCCTACCGATGCGGAAATCACGCCAACAAACTTTGCGAAGCCGCCGTGTGTCGATTCTGGCACCTCAGTTGAGCTTAAGTCCTCCGGCGACGCAGCACTCCAGGCTGGCGGTCTCCCCTCGACTGCCGATGCTGTCACATCTACCAATCGTTTCGGCTGGAAGCCAGTAAAGCGCTCCACCTCTCTCGCTGATCTGAATTCAGCCAGTACTCAGTCTGCAGCTAAACGACATCAGGGAATGCAGTCAGATGGAGGGCGAGGAGATTTGGTCCTTACTCAAACTGACCGGATTTCTGCGTCGAACGCTGGGGGTACGTTCTATGTTTCGCACACATATCTACCTGCAGTATACCTAAACTGTCCGCGGACTCTGATGATAGTTTCTGTAAGGTTATTAAATCCACTAGAATTACACGCCTCAGACTACATGCCTAATCCCCTTGTCTAGTGATGGCAGGTTTCAGCAAAGCGGGTGGGGACTTGCTGTGGATTATCAAATCAGCCTTACTGCAGAAAATGTAGTCTACTTCCCTCTGGAACCCATTGAGAGATATTTCAGATGTTGTCCAGTGCTGGTGCAAAACGACAGCAACCATGTGCTTGCCGTTTGTCCTACATATTCATCTCGGTTATTTTTACCTTTGGCAGGCGTATGTGACTAGTTCTTATGATCCAGGTGAATGTTACTGCTTATATAAAACATAGAGGTGTCCGTGGACGGCTGACGTCAGTAAAACAAACACGGATCGTTCCTTTCTAGTCGCTCCTTCAACTTTTCGATAGTGCCTCCAGTATACTGGACCAGTGGCTTATGCAGGACAACTCCTCTGGTGCTGTGAAATAATTACTGTGCAGAATAATTAGGTGGCATTCACATTTAAACACACTCTTCACTAGGTAATGGTTTCTCGAGGACGATATATCATAGTTATGATACGTATTCTTGGAGAGACCATTACCACACCCGTCGTTAACCTTGTTAGCGGTGCTCCTAACGTAGCCCGTGTTCGTTTAGTTTTTTGGTGATTTGCTCCCAGTCTGATATTGTCATCTGATTCTAGATGAAGCCCTAATGTGACTGCCTGACTGACTTCTCTTTGGACGTTCAGCTGAGGCTTGCTAATGGATGACTAATTGTCTTATTAAGTATTTGAGTTTCGACCTTAACCACCCGCATATGCTGTCAGGTTAAACATACCTATTTTCCTTCGCCCCTTCAATCATCCCGGTCCTACACGAAATTTGCTGTCAGCACAAGCAAAAATTTACTGTAAAATTCTTGATCTGAGCCGACTAGCGCCGACGTTTTGCACGCTTCTCCTCTGTGTGGAGTCCTGTTCCATGTACAAATTCTCTGGAATACTTGAAGCACACTACTTAAAAAGGTGCTGTTAACTGGCTGGTTCGCCGCCGTTAATTTCTTGTACTCTTAGCAGTGGTTTTGACGTATTTCCGGTTTTCCCAAATGTTGCTTTATTTGTCGCTGCAGTCGGAGTGAGGTCTGTCAAGCGTGCGCAGATGAAGCCACTACAGCCGATCCATCGGAGTACCTCTCACACCACTCTCCCTGGAAACTCTGCACAACATCCAGCAACAAACATACCAGTCTCGAAGCTGCTTAAGGGTAGAACCCGGAGTAGCAGTCGTGGGCCCAGTGGACCACCCTCTAAAGCATCCTCCGGCTTCGCCAGTCGGTCATCCTCCTATTCCGATGTGCACAGAGAGGTAATGCTACTCACCGTTTCCTGTGCTTTACAAGTTTAACGATACCGCCTTCGTCCTTATAACGGCCTAGTCGATATCTACGACCACTGGTTGGTTAAATTTTGTGCTTGCGACTACAAACCCCACGTTTGCTCTTCACACTTACGTTGGTCTCTTTCTGGTTGTCTGGCAAGTTTGCGCGTGGCATGCTCAATCCCAACCCTCAGTTGGTCTGACTTTGACTTACAGTTGATATGGGAGAAGGATCCAGTCTTAGTTTTCTGACTGCCAGTAACTCGCTTCGAAAGTAATGGTGGCATGCACTGTCACCAACTGGCGAGATAACTCGGTCCAGCTCAGGACTGAAGCTCAGATTGCAAGAACTCCCTCTTGTTGTAGTCTTTCGCTCATCCGTTGCCCCTGTGAAATCGGGAACGACCCTATCAAAGACTAATGATGTGGAATTGGAGGCAAGTTCGTGCCTTGTATGCGTAAACGTCACTCCCCACTCCAGTCTGCTGACCGGCTCGGACAGCGGCTGGGGTGTGGGAGTGGGAAGGGAGAGTGAGGTCGACGACTCAGCGCACTTTCTCCTCACTATAAACAATCTGACGCGCTTGAAGCTATCACGGTGCGCTAAAAGCAGTGGCTTGGAAGGTTGCCAACTGACGGGGTAACTTGGACCTCCTCCTTGACTGGAGGCGGTCTGAGAGTCAGGCTGCAATGGCTCCTTTTTAATGCGGCCTTTATGGCACTCCCACCACAGTGTGGGATCCGAGCCAGGCGTTAGCGGTACGCCTAGGTGCGGCTTCGGTCGTGCCAGCCACCAAATCTCTGTTGTTGGTTGAAATCCTGGTTATTGTTGTGTGGACCAGGGGGTGTGGTGGAACGCCAAGGTGAGGATCGGTCCGAGCTATCCACCTGCGGTCTCCTCGTCTCCGGTCTTCTGGACTCTGTCTTGACACCGGGCTCGGGCGAGGGAGGAGGAGAGAGTGTAGGTAGATGCAGCGCAAGTCTACTGGCACTATAAACCCCTGCGTAAGTCACCGTCCCTGCTCTCACTGCTGCTGCAACTGTGGGGCACACGGTGGACATCATCGAAACCGATGGTCGAACTGTCATGCGTAAACGTGGTCGCAGTTTCCTTAGCCTCTCAGCCCATGCCCCGTTAGGCTAATATGTTTGGAGTGACGTTCCGTTGTCCTAACTAAGTTCATTATAGGTTTGCTATAGTTTCTTCGAGGAATAAATAACAACTTGTTTTAAAGAGAGTTTCCACAGTAATGAAGCATTAAAGCTTACTAAAATATAATTAGTAGGGTGTATAGAATGTTCTTCATTTACATCCTGAAGGATGGTGGCTGATCATGTTTGAAAGGTGCGTCATCACAACTAGGCCATACTTTTAGACAGTTGATCGGCACGACGCTGCTTGGAGGCGTAGAAAGTCTTAACGATAGGATTAAAGCCTGGCTTTATGCGAGGACAATGCGCATCACTGGTGTGTACAGCAAATCCACTTCTTTGTCCTTCACCCATATCCACCAAGACTAGCTAAAAAAATTTGTCGCGATTGACTTCGCAGTCCCGATCCTTTCACAATTAGAGGTTTAAAATAAGGTCACATATTCTGCGTGTAACTGTAAGGGAACAGGTCTAAAGTAGTCATTCATTATGCTACTCATTCCCGGCGCTACTTTGGTGGCGCCTTTCTGGACTCCCCAAACTAGCAATACTCTTACGGACATGGTTTCCGAGCTTAAATGCCTACCCCGGGTAAAGTCTAACGAAGGTTCAAAATGATTTCGAAATATGTTGATGCACATGTTGGAAATGTGCATAACATAGCGGTCACTGACTCTATTACGTTTTGTTGCCCCGTTGAGAACTATGTTCTGCCACATAAGTGATCTTGTGTATGAACAACTTCTCTAAGGGAGTCTCGCATTAAGGGTATTACTAGAGGGTTCAATTTCATCTTCGTTTTGTGGATTCAAAACCAGTTGTTATGCGTCTGATATATCCTTCACTCCGGCCATGTAGCCTATCTACGTTCCTTTGTAGGGTTATGGCGTCATTTCCATCCTCGATAGTTCTCCAGGTCCTAGCGTTGTGTGCAATAGGTGCTACTTGCGATTCTACCTTGTCCACAAACGTACTTTTGCATGGTGTGAGGAGGGAGTCTTGAAGACGAATTCTTGGGCGATGCTACTTTTAGCAAGATTTTACACTGATGCGTATTCTCCAGCTACAGGCCTTTGCTGTTTTGCACTGATGAGCCTAATTAGCACAGCGGGTTGCCTCAAAAGCCCAGATTGCATAATTTAGAGGGGCCATTGACTGAAACTTATTTAAAATGCCTTGTTAAGCTCCGAATAAACACCATCAACCACAAATGTGGTGCACAGAGCCTTCAGCTGGTTTTCAGTTGTCTTGGAAAGTTTTGTGGGACACGACCTTTTTGTCGAATGTCATTGAATAACACTCTCGTATACCAACTGGATCCATTTTGTTTTTGAGGATTCTTTCCATTGTATTACAGCAGGTGCATTTGAAGCTCATTTGGCGGCAGTTGTCTATTTGTAGCCACGAACAACCTTTTCGAATAGGTACCAGGTGAACCATTTTCGAGGTTTTTTGTCAGCTTACCACAATCAAGCGGTTGCTGAAACCGGATGGCAAGTGATTCGACTACCTCCTCAATGGTCTTACTCAACGGCAATGCATAAATCTCACCCGATTCCGGTGATCTATCGTCAGTTCATTCTTAGTTTTGAACTTCGTGAACTCAAGTGTTCTACTGAGTGAAGTAGACATGACGTCAACAGATTGGTCTTTTAGGAACTCGGTCCAATAGTAAAAAGAGACTACAGACAGCATTTCTGGTCTGGACAACATTTCACTTTTCTGAAGTTCATCAGTTACAGTGCCGTTTTCTGCGCCTTTTACGGTAGTCAGGTAATCTCTATTTTCTTTGCGTTGCCTGGTTTAGGCACAAGGTTCTTGCGTTTCCGCAGAACTTTAAGGACATGGTTGTGTGCGCAGGATGTTCGGGCCTCTCGGAGTAAATTCTGTCACAGGCTTTTCTGTCTTCTATAATCTAAAACTTCCTGTTACAGTTGGTTCCTGGCAGTACCTTCCACAACTTCCGTTTTCTATTTTTCGCCCGACCTCTTGACCAACCCGGTTGGGCCTGCTTCTCAGACTCTCTCTTTTGTTTGATCCTTGGTTATCTGCCGCTCTTATCGGTATATCTGTCAGGATATCATATGCCCTGTTGACGTCTCCTCTCAGCGGATCCCTCCAACGTTTGGCCTTGACAGTGGACTTCATGAATTCCGAAACACCCTTCCTAATGTAGTTTTGTGGATTTTCCACCGCTTTCAGATACACGTATGAATTCCGATTTCCGCATTAGGAAACCATGATTGCTCGACGCTAGTGGGTGGCCTACATTGCTTTCATCTGTGTTTTTCTTTCCATATGGAAGTAAGGGTTCAGACAACTGGACCTTTGTCTCTCTACTGTTCTTCTCAAAAAACAAACTCATTGAAGGATGCATTCTTCCAGAGTCGTGTTTAAGGGCACCTGATCACATCTACTTTTGAGACTGTCGGCTGTCAACAGCTGCCAATTAACCACAGGCTGTTGTCACATATATGAATAGGACTTTTTACCTCGACCAGTTTCCTGTATTTCAGTCGACAGCGGTTCTTCTCTCTTGCTTATTTGTGTGTCCATCAACGACCCCTAGGTTAACCGTTTCAAATGCATGTGCGACTTAAGTACAGGTTAGAATTTCGCTATAATCAGCACCGTCCCTATCCATTATAACGATATCTATATCTTGTTAGCGGAAGATGTCTATCTTCCCCAGATTTTATTTCGCTTTTGTAGCTGTTGACTATGTGTGCGTAATTTCGAGTTTTGCGCAGCCTCAGTGAGCAACGTCTCAGTCGACGCAACGATATACGCGTGGTTTTCAGTTTGTAGAGCTGGTTGAGGTGACTTTGCACAGTTTTCTTAACTTCATATTCTCTATACTTGTTGGTTCCGTGCCAGCGGCTTTTTACCTTCTCGGGACATATTCAGATGAATTTACTCAAGTTGTCAGTACTACGGCATGGTGCCAACTAAAGGGTCTTCTTATTTGTGTCAACTGTTCATTGCCGATTCCTAGGTTCTTCTTCCCAGAAGGGTTCTTCTCTTGATATCTGGCCCCTATTCTCTTCATTTTGCCTTCTCTCTGAGAGAAATACCGTTTGAAAAACTCCCAGCTGGTCTTTCCCGAACACTTTTTTCCGTTTGATAGGAGTTTTGCTTTCACTTCATCTTCGAAGGTGGCCGTCAGAGCTTTTGCTGCTCAAACTTCCTCGTCCGATTTTTCAAGTCTCCTAATCCGAATCGCTTTGGGTGCGCGGACGGACGTAATTTTGGATCCCGATAACAGGGCTTCCAGATAATTAAGTAGCACGTGTAATAGTCTTTTCTCGGAGTTGCCCTAGATCTAGGTTCCAGTTGCGACGGTACCACCAGTCTGTGCTCCTGTGAGTATCCCCCGTTCTTAGGCCTGTGTTCAGAAAATTGTTTTCGGTCCTTTTGGCTCTCTTTTGCCTCCAGTCTCCTCTTCATTTGAGGATAGTTGGGGACTTAGAGTGGAATCTGGTTACGAAGAAGGGGACACGATCGCTAGAACAAGAGCTTTATTGGCCTGACGTTTCGGATTCACACTCGAATCCATCATCAGAGACAGAGTCGGATAGGAGTAGTAAATTGCCCAGGTGTTGCAGTATTTATAGGATGCAGTTGCTAGATAGCCTCATGCCGATCACGGTTGGTGGCTCCCCAGTGCATGACGGCCTAACTAGCCAGGTTTTGAAGTTCAGATTGGAAAAGTTTAGAGATCCGGGAAGATTATTAGAAGAAGAAAATTGGCTCTCCGGAACAGGTTTATTTAACTGCTGACGTTTCAAAGAGCTGGGTCGGCTCTTCATTGTCAATGCAGATGCATTTGCTATGCGCTTGCGTGCCGGTCAAGATTATTGGCTCCCACGCTCATCGCACGCAGTCGAGTTGCTGACTGCTGGATTTCGTCATCCGTGGGGTCTCTTGGGCAATTTGGCTCTCCGGAATTGACAATAGGAGCAGTGGTCATCCGCACGCTCTCCTCGCGGCGAACTACTTTGCCCTTACGCAACTGCGTTTGTGACTGGTGGGTCGTTGCTGTTGTACCTCAGTACTTGCTTCGTGTTTGTTGCTTTCCTGAATACTTTGATTTTTAAGCCAGCTGGTCGTTTTCCTCTTCCTCCGTCGTAAATTAGATGTCTGGGAAGATGACGTTGAGGTGTTCTTTGAATTCCAGCACCTGATCCCGTTCAATGACGACGAAGGTATCATCCACATACCGACCCCAGAATTTCAGTCGGAAAGCCAGTGCCTCCAACCGTTGTAGAACTGCCTCGGCTAAGCGTCCCGAAACCGACGAACCCATTGGTGTGCCCTTCATCTGCTCGTAGATTGTTCCGCCGAACATAAAGTACGTCTTGAAACAGAACTTCAGGAGTTGGAGGATTTGGATGTGTCCAAGGCGATTCTCCGTTTCATCGTAATTGTCTTTTAGGAGTAGTTCGATGGTCTCGACTGCTAGGTCCTGCGGAATAGAAGTAAAAAAGGGACGTAACGTCAAAGGATACCATGATGTTGCTTGGCAGGAGATTTATCCCTGACGAACTGACTGTAGTCTGGTTACGCTGCGCCTTCGACGTTTCATCGTTCAGTCTTTTCTACAAGTAACGTGACATTTCTGCGTCCTTGGTTTTGGTACTTACCCTCATTCAGGGAGACCTTTTTATTTCGAGTTTTCCGCTCGAATGGAAGTCCAGAGCTCTTGATCTTTACTTCTAACCCTTTTTGCCTGTGTTTGGGTGCTGACAGCTGACGATCGTTTGGATAATAGGGCTGGTTTCGTCTGATATCTCTTCTTCTGTGCGACTTTATGCCGTAGGCGCCCCCAAAATTACCTGGTTCTGTTCCTATGACTGAGTTGAAACCTTCGGGCTTGATAAGCCGGCAGCGAAGGGAGGGCAGCTGTTATGTCGACCCAGGTATTCGAATTCGGAGACCACTGACTACCGATTCATGTATTTTCCAGTACTTGTCGGTATCGTAACGCCGCAAAGAGGGTTCACGAGACTAGGTCCTACCATTTAGCTCGTCGTGGCTTGAGATTTGGTACGTTCCTTCTCTCCGTGACAACCTGTTGAATCGCACATGGGGGTGCCTGTATACGTCTAGTACAAACACCAGCGTATTGTGACTATTAGAAATTTTTATGAAACATCTGAGAAACAGGCAAATTCTTAACAGCCGCCGATCGCCATCAATGAAATCGTCAACATTAGTAGGCCTCTTTTTGGAATATTAACGCAACAATTCCATTGACAGACCATTCTTCGCCGTACTTACTTTAACTCTGGAAGGGTATGTTACAGGTTACTGCTTTTGTGCATGGAAGATTCAATGGTTAGCATTTCTTGCCTTTTGAGAAGCGCGAAGGAATAAGACGCACTACCACAAAACCCACTTTGATGAACTCTGTGTGGATTGTAGTTTCTACAAGGGCTTCTCTAGTGTTCTTCCGTTGCATCCCTTTTCCATCTTTATTGGGCATCTAGTTGACCAGTAGTAGGGGCTACTGCCCTTATTTTTTATACTTCAGACACCAGATTATACTTTGGTGATTTTTCTGCTGGTCTCGAAGACTCTTGAAGGCCTCCTCCTCATCTCTTCTTTCCTCTTTCGCGCTCGCTTGCCCTATTGACATAAACTGGCCAGTCTAGACCCTCAAAAGAGGGGCGTGCACCTTCCTCCTAAAATTTCTGGCCAAAATCGAGAGGGTGTGCGAGGAGCCACCGCCGATGCGCTCTTACTTGCGACTTCCGATCGACTTCCAATTGGAGGCTGGGAGTAAAAGCCTTGCCACTTGTCAGGAACCTTTTATTGAAGCTATCCTTGGGGAGCCAGCTATTGTCTACAAACCCCGAACTGGATTCGTCTGCTGTCGGGCCTTGCTCTCCTCCTTGCGAATTCTTCGTCCACACCCGGTTCGGCGCATCCGACCACAGGAGTCTCTACCCAGCGCTGGTGTTACCCCACCGTCACGCCTCTGCTCCCCAAACTTTATACTGACTTCGAGGAAAGTAACAAAGCACTGTGCTGACGAACACGCCAGCACAGAGGCCGCCTACTTCCCTCGGGCGGAGCATGTTTGCGTCTGCTCCCAGGGCCCGATAGCCGGACCTAGACTTGGCTCGGGTCGGGAAAACGCTCCAAATTGGGGCCAAGCTGGAACCATCCTTTGGTGTAATCTGCCGCAAACGGAAATAGAACATTCACGGCCACCAAAACAACTTTTGCCCTCTCCTCCACCTCCTCCGCTCCAGACGTACCTCGATTCATGGCATTTCTGTCTAACTGAGCGTCCCATTCCCAGACCGAGGACCCATCTACTTGGTAAATGCAACAGAAGTGCTGTATGGGAAGCGGAAAGTAAAACCTATTCCACCGACGATAAGGGTTTGATGCATGAGACTGATGCACCTGTTCGTGGGGTACCAAACGCCCGAGCCTGCAGAAGAAATCCCTCCTGGTTGCATACACAGGTAGAATGGTTTCTCGCAGGAGTTGCCGTTCATCTGTCCTGAACATCGCTTTGTTTCCTCCTGCGCTGTTGACACAGTCTTTGCTTTTCACCTTTTGGAAGCGTTTGGTTGTTCGGCTTCGAAGTTTCCTGTTCTTTTTCATAAGTCTTATTATTCAGTTTTGCGAGTTCTTGGTAGGTTTCCACCCTTTTGTTTTATAAAGTCACTGTGCGGCTGCTGTCTGGGGTCGAGAGAGAGCCCGTCAGGCGCAACGGGACGAGTGAGAGTCCCTCTACCACTTTCCTTATGTTTCTGATGAAACAAAAACTGGTTCACATCCGACGCAGAAAATGGTGCTCAAAGCTGAAATCATGTCTCCTAAGACTAGCAACATCTGCGTCATGGGTCCTGGGGGCTCATCAGAGCGAAACCTGCATGAACTAATAACAGATACAATATTCGTCCCCGATATTTGTCAAAGTATAAAACTTTAAATACGGTTACGAGGCGGGTCAAAGCGCCAGTGACTGGGGACTAAATGGTGGGTAGGCTGCAACTGTAAAAAAAGTCGGAACGATGTTACTCACTAAAAATACTGGACGACAGCCACGTGAAGGTACTTACCTTCTGTGATCCGGTTACCACGTGCACATGCGGTTTCCAAGAGGTATTGGAGGCTGATGTGCTGGTGTCATGTTCCCTCCAAGGGGTCCGCGGACGCCCAAATGACCACAGCGATGATCCTCGCTACGGCGTCAATAGTTCCTACAGAGTCCTGCAAAAAATCAATGACGTCTACACGAGTATCCACAAATGCGTTTTCCTGGCTTGATAGAGTAAATACCAGAGGTGTTGACTTTTAAGTGTTCATTTCAGTCATACACTGTAATCCTATTGATACTGCAGGTTTTTAGGCGCTAGTACTACGTAGACTTTATAGCAAACTGCGGCAACTCCGAGACTCATTGGTACCGATAAGCCAATTCCATTGGGTCTTTGAGTACTGGATCTGTGAAGGCTTACCTAATAAACCGTCTTCTGTCACTAGTTAGGACGCATTCTTTAACAATGAAACAAGCCATCGTTTACTATATATCGTACGTGGATTACTCTTATGTGTTGGGACCACAGAAGCCGACTTCATGAGACCTGTCCCATGGAGCATATTCAGACTCGTTCGAAACGGTCACCTTGTTTTTGCCATGCACACCGTTGACAGCGGCCATCGGTTCAGATAGGACGCCACCGAGTTTAGTGCACTGCCTCAGCGAACACACCGTCTGACCTTTATGTCGATGAGCGATGCGAAGGCTTACACACACCTTGCCAGTCATCTCTCCCTTTTTGTTGACCACTGATATACGGTGGCATCACATTTGATATATTTCCGCAGCCTCCCCGCCTGTCCCACCCCAGGGAATTTTGAACGCACGGTTCCCTTCTACTTTGTATCTCTTTCCACCAATCAACCAACACGAGCATGCAACTCCGGTTTAGTGTGCTGTGGGGTTCACTTTCGAATCCATTAGCTACAACGACGGTATTGTCCAAAAACAGACACAGAGATATCAAAATTCGTCTACCCTATTTTTTCCTTCCCGTTGTTAACGTCTAGAAACTTCACAAGTAGACTGGGGCCTTCCTAGCAGCGTATTTCCCCTGTCTTAACCGTCTTAACCGGAAAAGAATCGCAGACGTGCACTTGACACTGTCTCCAGGTGCAGAACATCCTTCTTCCAATTTCTGCTTAATGGGCCGGGAGGCTGGTTCTGAACTTAGAGTTGACACCCTAGTGCGGTTGCTGTTAATGTTTTTGTTTTTGTTTGAAATTTTATCTAACGTACACGTTAATCTTTGTCGGGTTGTAGTCTTTTCTGTGCCAGCCTAGGTTTGCTCTACCACACTGACTTTCTTATCTCTTCAGGTCAAGAAACAATTAGCCCAGTGTACTTGTTGCAACCGCATTCACCTCCAACGCTTAGACGAAGGACGTTACCAACTGGGCAAGCGCATCTACTACATGCGCCGATTCCGCTCGCACATAATGGTCCGAGTAGGGGGCGGCTGGCTCACGCTGAAGGAATTCTTGGACCGCTACGACCCCTGTCGCCAGAAGGAGGGCCAACTCATCCAGACCAAGACTGGCACTGGGACGGCAGCGATTGGTCAGGGTGAGGGCTTCCCCGCCGCTCCAACCAAGCTCACAGTTCCTGCGGCTGACTTGTTGGGTTCATGGACCTCATCCTCTGAGCTCCAGTGCTCGGAGAAGAGACCACCTCTCAGGCGATCTCGATCTCAACGCTCGAAAACGCCCGTGCCTTCTGGGCGGCCAAAATTTTGATTCCATCGACACTCACATGCGAACCTTGTTCTATACCATAATCATCAGCAGTCCCTCCCCCGACAAACTCCACCACATATATCTGTGATAATCTAATAATTTTTTCCCAGTCTCTCACTTTGTTTTCGATCGTGATACAGGTTGAAAGCGTTCAGCCCACAGTGTTTCGGGGTCGAGGGGGGGGGGGATCTAACGGCGATTTGATCATAACATTGTGTAGATGGATGTGTGTAGCTTAACAGTCGTCTTGCCACTTACGTATTAGGGTTCATTTGGACTACTGTGCCTATCTTTTGTTTTTTTTCATCAAATTCGTGTGTTCCTGTGGTTTTCGCCATGGGATACCACAGTTGCATAGATTTGGTGAACTAACTTTATTTTAAGGCTGAAATAAGCTGTCTGAGGACGATTGCATGACGCATTTCGACCTGTCTCGCTGTCTTACTATGGTCTGACGAATTGCTCCCATAATTAAACAACCATATGGTGCAGAAATCCGCCAGTTCTCAGGATTATATCCGATAGTGTTAACGAAGACGAAAGAAAAACCTCAACCTTGCTTTATTGAAGTTTCACCCCAGCAAGTCAGTTAGGTGATCTGGGGTGAAAAGTACCTTTCCTCATTAAGGGCCAATCGAGACAATACAGGCTGATGAGCCTCTTTACCATGGCTTTGCGAAGCGTGTGTTCCAGCATGAATACTCATCACGCGACTAAAATGACTTGGCCGTCAACCAACAAACTATTCAGCATGATAATATTTTTTAAAATTAATTCCCAACAGGGTGGTCGTTTATTTGGCAGGTTGGTAAATTGGTGACGAATTGCAAAGGCAGTCCGATGGAGCTAATTGCTCTTGTAAGAAATCATTAGGTCCCGGCATCTCTCCCTAAAACCGTCCTGAGGATTTTGATGTTTGTGGATGACGTCTTGCAGACCTCCTACGTCTTATGTTATTCTGCATTCTCGTTGAGCGGCACTTGCTCCCTTCAACAACGACAAATTTCAGCCTGACTGCGCCACCACCGCCGTACCAACGTTATCACAATCTTGTTATTTTTCTTTTCACACTCCACGAATCACATTCTCTTTTGTAGTGAGCTTGGGTACAAATCCTCGGAGGGTAGGAGTTTCATGCGTATCAGAAAGCCATGAAATTTTGCTCTGTTACTTTTTCACCAGTATAGACCTCGCTCGATATTTCACTTAAGCAGGTTTCGGAAGGTCCCAATGTGATTTCGCATAAATTAGTAATGCACGTGGAGAAACCTGCCTGCCAAACAAGTGGCACCTGTTTTTGATGCTTAATGTTGGCCTTACAAACCAGGATTCTTTTAAAGATTACCGAGGTGACTTAGTAAATAGTGTTTCAAATTAATTTTCACCAAAGTTGCGACATTAATTCTTGTGTTTTAGAAAAATGAAATAAAGCACTGCTAAGGAAATGTGCTATATATAATTTTCATACCGGAGCGCATGTATGAAGGAAAAGAAAGGCAGGCGCTCAGCGGGAGAGGAGTATTTTTATTCTGCGTTTCAGGTACCGATTTCGGCTTGCAGTCTTCAAATGCGTTGAGTTTCACACACTTCTCATTATGCGGCGTACAGCTTGCATGCGCACTGTGCCTGACGCGTAAATTGCCGAGGCCAACGGTGACCTTGACATCAACCGCCCTACTTTGCCTTGGTCTGCGTTGCACCCGTCTTCCTTGGCGTTGACGATATTAAGCAACCCTAATGTCCTCACCCCGAGTGAATATTTTCAGACAAGTCTCCAAGACCACGTGGGACGTGGGCGGGTTCATGAGACTGTTGACTGACCGATCGGCTGATATCCACCCTTCTTGCACCTGCCCTGACATGAGATTAACACCCGCGGATCAAAATCAGGCGATGTCAAATTTGAAGATACGCCCTCCCAGCACAGCATGTGTCACACTTTATACGTACCTGCCGATTTTGACAGGTTGTCGCAGGCATTCGCCCCCTTACTCTTTGACAAGCAGCACATTAGAATGCGTTTCTGCTCGCTGATGCAGTTTAGTTTGTTGTGCTTCTGGTGACTGCTGTTGCAAACTGGTTCTCTCAACGTGCTGGACGTCTCCCCTAAGCATCGATCGTCGGGTTGGCGGAAGATGACGACATCTGAAAGGTGGGTTCAATTCCCCATTTTGACCGCAAGTTTCAGATTCGGGGTGATTGTGTTTTTTTTCTTTAGGGTATCCAATCTTGCACTGTTCAACGATAACAAAGGCGTCTTTAATGAAGCGTGCCAATATTTGCGTTTAGAATACCTCGGATAGTCGTCTTTGGAGGTTATGAGGACAACCTCAGCAAGAAACCTGAAAATTAACGAAATCATATAGGTGGCCTTGATTTCTTCATATGTGGTTTTATTGAATGTGAAAAACGTCCCAGGACGGTACCTCACGATCTCTGAAATTTTGAGTTGTATGCTGGCCATCTTGCTGCCATTTTGACTAAACAGGCCACTGAGCACTTAGAGCGTCCAGGTCTGGGGTAAGGATACGAAGAGCAAGGTGCGTTTAATTTGAAGGTAGAACAACAGTTGTTTTTTAGAAACCGAGATGAATAGGATAGTTTCGATTGATCTGTCCACTGCGGCAGAGGACGTATGAGCCACCCAGATATGTGCGAAAGCGACTTAACTACCGTGTTGAGAGTCAGTTGCTGTAGTTACTAGTGTCTGTGGGATGTCTGAAGGCTCTCTTAGACCATACTGGCTTAGAATCTGCTAATAAAGCCCAAACAACTGGTCGATAGCTGCTGGCTTTTTTTTTCCAGTTCTGTTGAAAGCTACCGGCCTCCATTTACTGTCAATCTATCACTTATGACCCGTACCCAGGTTACGGACGACGATCTGACTTGGCTCACCCGTACACCGCTTCGCCCTTTGGGATTCCCTGTGTACCGATCATTATGCACGACAGTTTGCTATCAACGCTGATTCACTTGCTTCAAGCTCCTGTCGCAGAACAGAGGTAAAAATTACTTGTTAATGGTGACAGATGTGGTCTCCTTTATAACCTCATTTCCTCCTCACCAGTTCCGTTTTCCTGCATAACTGACCGCTAGAATTTTGCAGTGATTCTGCATTCTGGTATTGCAGAGTCTGACTGTTCCAAAGATGTTGTTTTGACAATGCAGTCCTTTGAAAAAACAATGAATATTGTATCCCAGCTAGCCTCGGGGGTGGTCAATTTTGGTCAAAGAAATACTCCATGACGCAGACGACCACATTGATTTTTGTGGCCACACCTATTTATCAGTCACTGTACACGATAAGACTCTTGAATAGGTAGGCCATGTACTCCACCTTGCATCCACCTTACTACCAAACGAGAAAGACAAACATGCAGTGGATCATCAGATAGACTAGACCCACTGTTTTCGCTTGATTTCGTCGAAAACTGCGGAATGAACGTGCAAGGAGTCAAAAGCCCAAGCCGATAGCATGCGAGGCTTAAAGTAAGACCTTCCTTCCATATGCATGTAATGCATAGCCATGCACTCCGAGGATATCCATCATGTGGCGGTAGTAGATCAATGATATATGAGCCTCGTTCGTCGAGCTGGTTTCTTCGGTCACCCCTTCAATGAGTGATTGCACTGTCAGGGAGGAACAGAAAAGTTAAAGCGTACACACTCGTACCATTACACAGTAAGGGCGTCATACTGAGTAAAGAATATGTAAAAATCCAAAAAAATTCATGCAGCCAGTTGCGAATTACAGTGGTTGGTTCAGTTCGCGGTTCGCTAGTCATCGCACATAGTTTGCCATATTTTTTTGCTGACTAATCTCTCCAATGTCTAATAAACTCGGTTAAATTATCAAACTGGGTCAAAGAGACAGCTTGACGCACGCGCGATGACGGGAATACGCTGAGTGTCATTTCTAAAAAACCTATTCTTATGAGAGCACTAGTCGAGGAAGACACCTCATATCCGTATGTTCGCCATCCTCCCACTCGTTGGTTTGGATGAGGACGATGAGTACAATCGTGACTCACCTTTAGTGACTAGAAGTCAGAGTCAACTGATCGCGCACAAAAAGACGTTCTTGCTGTGTATGCCGTGCGATTCGTGTACGAGCAATATACGATAACCGTAGAGTGTACAGCACAGGGCGCTTTCGGTCAACCTAACATGCTTGTCGAGCACCGCGTTCGCGCGTATGGCTCCAAAGACGCCGTGACGCCTATCGACAATTTTTGTCGCCGTCGATTAGTCGCAGCCGCACATACTTCGCGACCGGACGAGAGGATGGCAGCTCGACCGACGTGACCGACGATGTCCACTGTGTGTGCTCCACAGTAAGGGGAGAGTAGGCACGGTGACTTGTGCTTGATTTACCGCATAGTGAAAGTGGACTTGCGGAGCATCTACCGTACTCTCTCCTCCTCCCCCACCTGGGCCTGGTGTCAAGAAATAGTCAAGAAGACCGGGGGCGGGAGAGGGCGCAGGTGGCTGGCACGGCCGGACCCGCACCTAAGCGTACCACCGCACCCCGCTCGGATCCTACTAGGTGGGACTGCCATAGAAGGGGCCATTGTTGCCTCACCCCCAGACCCCCAGTTGGCCACCTCACACAACACGCACCGGGACGATTGAGAAGTCCAAGTTATCCCGTCAGTTGGCAATCTTCCAAGTCACGGTTTTTAGCGCAACGTAGTAGCTTCAAGCGCGTGAGATTGTTTATAGTGTGAACATTGCGCTGGGACGTAGACCTCATTCTCTATTCCCACTGCCAGGTCCCAGCAACTGTTCGAGCCGGTCGGTCGTCTGATGTGGGGAATGAGCGCAGTAGCTGACAGAGGTAAAGAGTTCATCTGCACGCGCCACATGCAGGGTCTGATAACCAAACGCGCACCAGGGTTTCACAGATACAGTGGGGATAGAACGCTTCAATCTCACATGCAACAGAGGATCCACACGGAGAAAAAGGCCGGTGCCTTTGGATGATGAAGAGGTGGATGGGTGATGCATGTGCGGTTTGGGGAATTCGTGGTGGTGTAGTCGTTTTGGCGGTGATTTACGGCACGACTGTCATGAATACGAATGTGACCTAGCTGGCCTATGAGGCGGCTGAATGTGAGAGGACAACGCGGGCAGTTAAGGCAATCCCCTCTAGTGTCTTTTTGTGTTCCCTTCACTGGTTCGCCAATCTCCGTACAGTGGACTCGCAAATGGCCGACTGGGCCGCTGTGTGATGTAAATGTGCGGTGACAGTGAGGGCATGATAAACTCGTGAGCTACAGAGTTGGTTTCGGTAGTGGTGCTGCATTTTTTAGCGTTTGGCACACTGGGGGTAGAGGATGCGCAAGGTGTACGAAATATCTTTTTTTAGTCGACACTATCCTACAACGACATTTCAATACGGTCAAGCAATTTGCTGGTCGGATTATAGATGACGTTGCCCATCCCTTGCATTCTGATCTTATTTCTGCGAGTTCTTCGCGCCCGATGTGCCGCAGCTTCCGACTTATGTCTTGTCGCGCATCGGTTTTTCGAGCTTTTGGATTGCCATTCCTGGCGCGCTATCTTGCATGTGAAGAGATAGAAGTACAGAAGCTAAGACTTGAACTGTCCTCAGAATAGTCATTCCTTTTGTATTAAACTTGTCGACTCTGAAATATTCTATTAATTTATTTACTGCCCATAGTGAATGGAGCCATTTTTTCGCTGAAAATTTTAAATTTATGACTTTAAAATGAAGCGAATTCCCCCCTCTTTCTCCCTCACTCTATCGCTCTCTCTCTCTCTCTCTCAATGCTGCTGTGCATTTTGCTGTCCCGAAGACGCATGTGACTGAATAGGCACATGCTGTGGAAGAATGTGCGGATACAGTGCGGACAGTGAAGGCGGATGCGACGGGTGTATTTGGGCGCTCCAGGCACTGGTTTGCTAGTCTTTGTGCGTTATATTCGCAAGTCACCTGCCTGGCCGATGTTGGTGGTGGATGTGCGGCCGCAATAAGGACAGGTTGTGACCGAGTCCACATAGCCGGAGGTGAGGGTGGTGATGGTGAATGTGATGGTGGTTGTTGGGGTGTCAGGAGCGTTCCAGTCAGTGACAGGGATGATAGAGGTGGCCGCGCCCGTCGTCGCCGCCGTGACTGTGGCAAAGATGATGGAGGTGGCGGAGATCAAAGGCAGTACGGCACGGGGATTTGGAGCAAAGATGATGAGCGTGGGCGCCGTCGCGGTCGATGTGGATGTTGGAGCAGGCGCAGTCGTGGAGGCCGCAGTTGCGGTCGTCGAGCGATTGATGCATTGGGTACGGAGATGTACGAGGAGGCTGGTCCGGCGCGGAATGTTCGTTGACAATATGGGCATGTTGGGAGTGGTTCAGCGTCGATGTTGCCGGTCGGGGGCGCCTAAGATTTGAGAGCTTTCCTCTTGACTTTGGCGACAACGATCCGGTTTGCTTCATAGATGGCTACACCAGTCTTCACTTCTCTTCTTCAAGCTGGTCTGTTCTGGGCGAGGTCCTTCCAGGTCTCTGGGTTGATATTCAATCGCTTAGGAGAATTCTTTAAAGTAACCTTGTTGCGTCGTTTTGGTTGCACCGGTCGGCGATCACCCGTGGCGACATCTACGTTGGAGGGTTATTTTGGTACGCGAGCGTTGTCCATTTTCACGAGATGGGCGCTCCATCGCACTTGCCATAGCATGGTGTAGATGCTAAGGATTCTGCCCCGTCCCAGGATTTCTGTGTCCGGGATCCTGTCCAGCCATCTTAGCCTCAGTATTCCGCGAAGACAACTGACATGGAAGTGATTGAGCTTCCTGGCATGGCTTGCGCAAATGGTCCAGATCTCCGCTCTGTAAGGAAGTGTTGTCATGATGAGTTGAATGCTGTGGCGATTTCAAACAGCGGTTTACAGCCGGTCAAATGCCTGGCTGGCTTTGGAGAGTCAACGGGCAACCTTATCGCGCGGGCATGCGTGTCCTAAATGGACGAAGCTATCCATGGTTTTAAACTAGCTGCCGCTGGCATCGATTTGAGGAGAGCTGCAGTGTGAAGGTTGAGACGTGACCACCGTTTTGTCTATGTTTGTGGTCGGTCCAAATTTGGTGAAGCCGGCGGCAAAGAGGTCCATGCTCCGTTGCATATCTTTCTTGACCGTGGTGTTGAGCGCGCAGTCGTCGGCTAAGATTAGGTCATGAACCGTGGTCGTGGATAGCCGAGGTCAGGCCTGCATGCACCAGCCGTTGAGAAGATGCCCGTCAGTTCTGTAGGCGATACGCATCCCAGGGCTCTCATCCCCGTAGGCGTCCATCAGCATAGCAGAGAACATGGGGCCGAAGAGGGCGGGGCAAGTAAGCAGCCCTTCTTCACTCCATCGGTCCCTGCAGATGTCTCGGAGATTCCACCGTTGTCCGTGATGTGCGCCGTTTTCCGATCAGGGAGCTGACGCACCATATGCATGAGTCGCTCAGAACAGCCGAATTTCCACATTATTTTCCACAGTTAATCACAATTAACCGTGTGGAACGCTTGCAGCAGGCTCACGAAGGTAGTGCAGAGGTGGGTTCGCATCTCTCCGAACTTCTCCTGTAACTGGCGAGCGGCAGTTGCTCGAGGTAACCAATGAGACGCTTGAGAAGAAGGCGAACGAAGATCTCAGCGATGTTGGGTAACGAGATACCCCTGCGGTTATCACGGAGTTGTCGGTTCCCTTTGAGCTTGTAAAGATGGACGATGGTAACGTCCTTGGAGTCCTAAGGAACTTTCCCGCGGCGCCACATCTCCTGGAATATTGTAGTGATTTGGTACGTCAGTCGGTGGCCGTCATGCTTGTAGACTTCAAACGGAATCGCATCGGAGCCTGGTGATTTCATGCTGGAGAGTTGCCGCACGGCACAGATGGTTTCTGGAAGGGGGGGCGGGATATCCAGGTCGATGTTGCTTTCCCCTTGGTGGGACCGGTCGATGACGGCGTTGGAGATTGTGGAGGGACTATTGGGGATGCCTCAGAAACTGTGACATTTTTTCGCACGCATTGATCTATTGGAGTTGAGAAGTGGCTCGTTTTCCTTCGCTGGGGGGCCGCAGATAGCCTTTGTCGCAGCGAGGAAGTTCCTTCTTTCTCTGCGGTCAGCATGCTCATGAATCACCTCGGCCATCCAGGCGTCCTACAGTCCTCGCAACCGTTGTTACTCAAGGCAGCAATATTGGCAGTAGGCCGCTTTGTTTGCATCGGTTGAACTGTCAAGGTAGGCTCTATGCAGCTTGTATTTTTTCAGCCAGCAGTTTTCTGATGACTGCATGGTACTCGTCGAACAAGTCCTGGTGCTGAGGACGTGCGAGTCCGAGGACACCCAGGGCGGTCTAATGGACGTCGTCTCGCAGTTAACACCATCGGGTCTCCAGGGGGGAGTTTTCTTCTGAAGCTCGCAGGTCTCTCACTTGCTGGATCAGTTGACTGCTGAGCTGAAGACGGTGTGCAGGCACATTCAACAAAACAGTATTTAACGCACCTGGTCGTCGCTTGAATCATGGCCTCCTGCGCGGTTACAGACGGAACCTCATCTTGGAGATGATTAGGCAGTTGTTCGTCCTACTATCGGCCTCGCAGATCGCCTTGATCACCAGCAACTATTCTCGATCGCGCTGCCGGAGGAGAACACAGTCCAGCAGCTGCCAGCGCCACGATCGGGGGTGCATTCAAGTCGCTCTATTCCGCATCCTCAGGCGAAAGTGTATTGGTCAGCAGGAGGCGGTGTTCAGCACAGGTACGCAGGAGGAGGTAATTTCCGTTGAAGACGACGATTCTGTGAGGACCAAGCACTCCCCTTCAAGCAGCGAGTCTGTCCGAATGCGGGTATTGAAGTCAACAAGGACAACCGGCTTGTCTGCCTTCGCACAGACGTCAGCAAGGCGTTCAGGCCTTCGTAGAACTTTATCTTTGCCTCATTAGAGCCGGTCATTTGGGGGACGTAGGCGCTGATGGTGGTGGCGAATTAGGGTCTCCTGAGAGGCAGGCGCAAGCTCATTAGTCGGTGGTTGGTGCCCTGCGGCAGACAGAGCAGTCTTCTCACGTTGTCGTTCTAGATGGAAAAGGCGACACCCGCGTCTCATCCTGCATTTGGTTGGCCGCTCCAAAAGAAGGTGCAGCGGGCACCCACCTCCAGTTAGCCTTGTTAGGTTAAGCGAGTGTCGCAGAGAGTAGCGATGTTCATCTTGTACCGGGCCAGTTCTCGTGCGACTAGCGCCGGCCTCTTTTCCGGTCGGTTATCCTTCGGAATGTCTAAAAGGAACTGAGCATTCCAAGCTGCCAGAGTGGGCGGGCTTACCCTAAGAGCCTGTGGGCTGGCGGAGGGGAGGAGGGGAAGAGAGCCACGGTCTACTCTGACCCTAACCTTCCAGGTCCCCCAACTCTAATCTGAACCCTAAATCTACCCCCCGAGTTTGGGTCAAAGCGCTTGCAATACAGGGGAGTTTATTTTCCCATGTCCAGCCCATAATCCAATACAAATTCCCGCCTGATTGCCTGCCGGCTTTCAAATGGGCATCTTTCTAGTGATCTCACAAAATTCACGCACAAGAAGCATAATTAACTAAATAATGTGCAGAAAGCCACTTATCTTCGATTTCCGTGCATATTTAATCATAAAATATAAAAAGGAGCATGCTCACTTGTTATAAGAAGTCCATAGGAGCTTTCGGTCCTCTTTACAGTTTTCCCCATAAAAGAAGAGGTTACTGCAATTTATAAAATTACTACTGAATTTCTGCTTTGAAATACAACCTACATATTCGTCAGGAACTACCAGCGTTTCTGAAAAAAACACTGTCGCCTGATAGAGATTGCCATAGTCACGGACCATTTTGCTTTTTTTTGGGAGCAGTATTAAGAACATGCAATAAGTAGCCTGCGTACGTTCCCACGCGAGTTTCTCACTATCGCTTATAAAACTGAATATTAAAAAAGGGGAAATACTATTCCCAAATATAATATTTGCAGTTGATATAAGTTCCCTATAGACAGACAACAGAAGTGAATTTTTCATGCATCTTTTCTGGGAAGCTTGATTGGGTTTCTGTGGACATCGGAAATCAAGTACACAAATTCACGTTATTTCGGGCTTTCTGGGTTTTATTCAAATCCCTGCGAGAAATCTTCTTGGGAAGCCGGCTTACTATAATGCAGGCATCAGGTAGAGATTATGCTCTCGAATAGCTTTCCGCACGACTCCAACAAACTAAGCCCTTTCATTTGAAATCGCATGGAGTCTTACCGGTCAGTCCTTTGTAATGTTCGATGCATACTGTATATACGGCAAGCCGGCAGAGAAAAGACGACGACAAACTTCAGGTTTCGCGGAAGGTCGGCGTTTTGGCAGATTTGAATACAACATTTGGTCCGATTGTGAAAAATCTGGCGTCGACGATTGGATTCTAACCCACGGCATCAGGGGCAAGGCTTAAGTACAGGCAGCGCTCTAATTTGCTGAGTCGTGACTTTAATCACCACTGGGCCAAGTGAATCATCTAAATCTGTCAAGAACACTAACTAAGTAAGTGAACTTAATAGTCATCTAGTGGATTCTAGACTGATTAATTAGTAGATCCTGTTTGGGTAGCCAGATTGTTTTCTCAGAATCAATGGATTCTAGAAGTTGCAAAAGGCTGGGCGGGCAATACTTACAAAATGTGATTTAACGCACAAATCTAGATACGGCCTTGCAGCTCAGGGGGCAAAAGAGTTGGCTGTACTCAAGTCTTGCGCCTGCGGTCTCGAGTTCGAATCCCACCAAGGTCGCTGATTTTTTCAGAATTGGGTCAAATTAACTTTCTGGAAGATTTCTAATTCAATTTGGGCTACTGTTAGAAAAAAGACAGAATAACCTAAAATGTGGCAGCGTCACAAAATTACGTTTTTCTTCCTACACACTTTTGGCATACCAACTTGACTTTTTAGTAGAGTTAAGAAGACTTTTGAGAGGACAGTTACACTGCCAAAACACTTACGACTAGAAGTAATATTTCTGAAATCTGAAGGCAAAACAGGCAATCTGTTGAGTGTGCTCAGGGAACTCACCGAAACCTGTTTTGCGGATCGAACACGTCTGACAAACGAGCTAAGATCGAACTTACGATGCAGCAAACACGGCACGCACCAAACGTGAAGCCTTCCTGGAATTGCTTTCAGTAGGTCTTAGCTAAATTTATTCAGATGTTTGGACACGCTACCGAGATGATTTCCTGATTTGGCCATTAACTGGTTCTTATTTTATGGACAAAATTTTAGGGTAGAGTGGACTACATTTAAGACTGGTAAGGCTGAGTTTACTGAAGGAATCATGCTAGTTTAGGGTGCGACTCGGCC